TTTTAGAACCAAGGCTTTGCCTGGATTGTCCCTGGGTCTGACTCGGTATAAGGGGCTTTCTTTTTTTACTAAAGGTAGCCCAAGAAACTGATAACTGTGGTAGGAATGAAAAACTGAATCGTCTTACTTGGACATCTGCTGCTATATGAACAGTACATTACGATGGAAAACTCCAAAGTTGAGGTTTTCTCCATCAAATCAACATTACAGACTTATAATGCATTCTTTAATTAGATGTCGCTATTAACTGGACTGTTGCGTGATTTAAATCTGGATGTTAATCTCCGTCATTCTACGCTGCCATAGTTTTTATGACATCGAGCGAGTGACTCCTTTATGTAGTAATCTATCTGAAAACCACCTTATTCCCCCCTCTTTCTTTTTTTTAGAAGAATAAAGGACATGAGATTGAAATGAAAGCTTTTCTGAGTCCGTCCATTAGTAATTTTCTGCTTAGTATTTGAAAAATGGCTCGTTTTAATTGCTTCACAGAGGAGAAAGCTATCAAAGCTAATGCTCTTTCTTTCCAAACTTTTGTAATTATTTCTCTTGGACTCTTATTTGAAATGGCTTGAAAATATTTTCATTAAAATGTAGATTTTCCCCCACCCTTCTCTCTCTCTCTCCTCTCTCTCTCTCTGTCTGTATGTCTGTCTCTCTCTCTTTCAAATGGGCTTCGATTCCCCAGTGCTTACCCACCCACCCAAAACCCACTTTTTCTTTGTTTGGCTACTAGCTTTTAACTATGTATAGATGAAATCCAACATTTGAAAATAGGAATGAGGGGACATGTCATTAGCATTGCTAATATTGACTGGGATTTTATCAGGTTTGGATTTCATATCAAACTGCACAGTTTCCAAGGAAAACAATGTTTATGGGAATGTTCTCTCTTTCCTGCCACTCCCTGTCCACTCTCCGCCCAAAAAAAGAAAAATTCTGAAGATTCACTCAAATAGTTTGACTCTTTTTTTCCCTCTTGAACTTTGTGAAGTCAATCTAATCCAGTACAGTGGTATCTCGGGTTACATACGCTTCAGGTTACAGACGCTTCAGGTTACAGACTCCGCTAACCCAGAAATAGTACCTCAGATTAAGAACTTTGCTTCAGGATGAGAACAGAAATCGTGCACCAGCGGAGCAGCGGCAGCAGGAGGCCCCATTAGCTAAAGTGGTGCTTCATGTTAAGAACAATTTCATGTTAAGAACGGACCTCTGGAATGAATTAAGTACTTAACCCGAGGTACCACTGTATCTTCTTTTCCACTGTGGCCAGCCATATACTGCTTTGAATCATTGGAACATAGGAAGCTGCTTTATACAGAATCAGACCATTGATCTATCTAGTTCAGTATTGTCCACACTGACTAGCAAGAGCTCTCCAGGGATTCAGGCAGGGCACCTTTCCCAGGCCTACCTGAGACGTGCAGGGGGTTGAACGTGGGGCCAAATCAGGTGCTGTATCACTGAATCACCTCCTATTGTTGCTCCCTAGCAAATGGCATTCAGAGGCCTCTGAACCTGAAGGTAGCCTCTCGATAGCTTATTTTGTAGCCTCTCCTCCATGAATCAAAGGCTGTATCTCAGTGGAAGAGCAGGTGCTTTGAATGCAGAATATTATATACTTATTTTAGATCCCACCTTTCTCACAAGGGCAGGTCCCAAGGCAGCTCACAGCATCGATTAAAGCACATGCATCAACGTAATTCTTTTTTTAATTACAAACAAAATTTTAAAGGAACACAATCGATCTGAATGTTCCTGATATGAGAAGGTCCAAGTTATGGGCATGGTCTCACAGAGACCAAGTTGTCCCCACCACTATTCTCCTGGAAGTCCCCTAGATTCTCCTTCCCTCTCTCCTCTTCCACACTCCACTCAAGCCTTGTAGGGCAACTAGAGGGACCGCTAGGGGTTGCCATAAGAAGAGGAAATGCAATGCCCCTCCCCCCCAAAAAAGAGAGGACTGAATAAAGCACACATATTTGCATACAATTTACATATGTATAGTAATAGATGCAAAAATAGAAATAATTGCTATCTACTGAAAGCTGCAGCGTATCTCACCCTAGTGGGGAATACTGCAGCAACATGATTGGTGCACTTGTTCAGTTTGAGGGCCTGAAGCTTTCTGTTGACGGGGAGCGATGTCTGCCCTCCCTTCTTATAGCTCTTTGCCTTTAAGCCAAACCCTCCGAGTGTCCCTATTTTCCAAGGATGTCCCTGATTTAGAGAAGCTGTCCCAGTTTCTGATTGGATCCTAGAATGTCCCGCAATTCCTTAGGATGTCCCTATTTTCATTGGAGAAATGTTGGAGGGTATGGAGTTATCCAACCCCTGAACCATCTGAAGGCAATCCTGTATAGGGATGGTTTTTTTAATGTTTAATGTTTTATTATGTTTTTATGTATGTTGGAAGCTGCCCAGAGTGCTGGGGCAACCCAATGAGATGTGTGGGGTATAAATAGTAAAATTATCATTATGGAATGGGACATCCCTATTTACATCTGAGAAATGTTGGAGGGTATGCTTTAAGCTAGATTTATACCAGACAGCCCTTTAAATAGAGGACTCCTTCAAACAGAGGTCTGTCCTCTGTAAAGTAGGAGACAGGGCCATCCTGAACCCAACCCTTCAAGGCTTGAGAGAGCCCTAAACAACATGCCCTCTAGTTGACTCCTTCCAATACCAGTAGGTCACGTGTGACAGAGCCACAGTTGGCAAAGGCAAGTCACCAGTTTAAATTTCCCACAATGCTCTGGTGCAGCATATTTCAACAAGCCTCTCTACTGGGCCCTCAGCACTCTCCTAGACCACACCTCCTACTGGCCCTGCTTCTGGAATGTGTCCTTGAATTGGAGTAAATGCCTTGTGCTTCCTGGATGGAGGATACAGAAGGGAGTGTCAAAACTAACCTACTGTGCAAATTTTGCATTAATTGCTCTGCCTCCCTTTGCCTCTAGCCCCAACAAACACTGGCATGTGTGGCCCCTGGAAGGTTGCTCAGAAAGCAGTATGGCCCTCAGACTGAAAAGCTTCCCCAGCTCTGGCCTCCATCATGTATGAATCTGCATTTCTGTTCCCCACCCCTATCATTTGGTAAATGGTCAGTGATCCAAGGTATTCTTTTTCTCTCTCTCTCGCTTATGTTCCTTTCAAACCCTCCTACTCCAATTTGACTGGTGTGAGAGGTAGTAGCATCACATGTCACAAAGCTCCTATACACAATGTCTCCCCCCCCCCCCGAAAGGCAATGAATGAATGAGAAAGAAAGAAAGAAAGAAAGAAAGAAAGAAAGAAAGAAAGAAAGAGCCCCCAGGCCTAGTTTGCACCACTGCTCTCCTACCCTCTGAAGCCATTATGAACAAGCCTCACTAATTATAACTCCATGGCTAGGTGCCCTCCTAAGGCTGTTGTGCTCAGCAGATATGCCTCCTGAAGGAGATATGAGTGAGCTCAGGTAATTCAGAGCAGGGAATGCATTTGGGCAGAGGGGGGAGTATGTTATGTCACTACTTTTTTTTTTTTTTAATTATCAGGAACACATTTTTGGCCCTTAAGTGTCCTACTGCACCGGCAACATCATCCCAGCAGCCATTTTTCTAGTGTTTTCCTTCAGAGACAGCTGTTGCAGATAAGCATCTACAATTATAGATTCCGTTTCCTTTATATATATTTTTTAAAAAGACGACTGGAAGGAAGAAAGGGAAAGGCTTGGTTTGCTTCTCTATATGGCTGGCAGGTGTTTATTTTACTGCAATGTGTGCTTAGGGGATACCCCAGTAAACTGAGGGACAATCAACATCAACACGCTGTTTGGTCTTATTCCTTCCACTAATTATGACGTTGTTGTTGTTGAAATGCCTTTACTCATTATTTACTCCTTTGTCTAGCTCATAGGTGAGCAGTCTGCAGGCCACACATGGCCTGCTTAGGCCTTCCCTAAAGCCCAGAAGGGATGTAAGGAGGCAATGATTTCTGTCCCATCCTGTGTTTGTCACAACCAGAGCCTTTTCCATTCTGCTACAGTTCAGCTTATGCTGAAACATATGCTATTCATCTCACTAGTTCCTATGGCTGGATTTTGCCAACAAGAAAAATAACATTGTTTTTAGTGGAAAACGAAATGCAGCAGAATGGATACACTGCTACATGTGACATATACCAGGTGGAAGGAAAACGATGCCTTATAATATCCCTGTTGTAAGAGGGAGGTAACAACAGGCTGAGTAGAAGAAGAGAAGAAGAAGAGTTTGGATTTGATATCCCGCTTTATCACTACCCGAAGGAGTCTCAAAGCGGCTAACATTCTCCTTTCCCTTCCTCCCCCACAACAAACACTCTGTGAGGTGAGTGAGGCTGAGAGACTTCAGAGAAGTGTGACTGGCCCAAGGTCACCCAGCAGCTGCATGTGGAGGAGCGGAGACGCGAACCCGGTTCCCCAGATTACGAGTCTCGCTCTTAACCACTACAGCACACCTCAAAATGTGCGGGTGTGCAAAATGCCTTTAGGGACGGGGAAGAACCCAAAAGGATGAAGGATGCTTCCAGGCTGCCAATATATTTGGGTGGAATTCAGTCACAAAGCAGTAAATTCAGGCTGTGCTGACTTTGGGTACTAGACTTTGAGCCCAGCCCAACAACCTGTTGTCATAGTAGCCAACCAGAAACCTGTAGGAAACTCACAAGCCAGGAGCTGAGCACAAGAGCAATCTTCTCCCCTCTATGCCTCCAAAGCATTGCTGCCTCTTCCTATTCAGGATCTCCACTAAAAAGTCTATGGGTTTTAGCTGAGAAACTGGTATATTAAAAAGATTGGTGGGTTTAAAAAAACAAAACCAGTCACAATTCATAGTGTTAATGAATAGATGCATCGACTGGCAAACCAACTTTTCCAGGCTGCAAAAACAAAACAATCCCTCCATCTGAATAAAAGAACCATGTTTCCTAGCTAATATTTACACAAGCTCGTTCTTGCCCACAATGGCAAAGTCACTCACTTGGTTTTCTTCAATCTATTCTTCACCGCCCTCCTGGTAACATTTTCATTGTCAGCCCTGAGTTACTGTTTAATCCATGATCGCTTGATAAATGGAGTTCAATTGGAATACCTGTGTTAATTAAACCAAAGATGGAAGAGACAGCTTTCATTTCTTGCTGATAATTTTCTACGGCTTTGCTACAGCAGAGAGAGAGAGAGAGAAATATGAGGACTTTCTACATCCTTTTACCAAAATGGGGGGGAGAGAGACCCAGGAGTATTCAATAACACCTTCACATGATAATGCTTGCAATTGTTCAATATTCCTGGCTAATTCCTACACAGTCCCTTCGCCCTTTGCAAGTTAGAATTGCTGTTTCATGTCATGAAAACCATTTCCTGTGAGAATGTAGAGGAATTTCCAAAGATGTAATAGATGGACAAAGGACCCTAGTTTAGTGGCAGAGCATCTCCTTTGCATGCAGAAGGTCCAAGGTTCAACCTCTGGCATCTCCCAGTAGGGCTGGGAGTGTCCCTTGCCTGAAACCCTGGAGAGCCCCTGCCAGTCTGTGTAGACAGTACTGGAGCTAGATGGACCAATTGTCTGATTTAGGGATTATGAGAGTTGCAGTCCAACTACATCTGGGAGATGCCTCATGTAGCTCTATACACATTCATCCACCTACAGCACATACACTAATGTGCTTAGTCCAGCCAAAACAGAACCACATCTTGGTTCATTTATTCCAGGTACTCTGATTCTCAGCTTATTTGTTACAAGTAAACGAACTTCCTAAATATAACCGGGCCCTCCTATCTTGATCTCTTGCTAATTTTAGCATAACATTGCAAGAGATAGTAAGTTTGTTAGCTTAGATGGTTTTGAAACAATGTATGTGTTTGAGAAGGGGGTGTTATACTTTTAAACACACTCTGTGCAATTTGTGGTGGTCATCTTTAAAAATACTGCTCCATTATCCTTTTTCTCCCCATTTGGAATGAATGAGGCTAATTAATTTCAGGCCATACTTGATGAGGTCAGCACCAAACTAGGGGGTGCGTGCTAGACATTGCTAATCTCTTTCAGCTGAGAGTGATGAATTAAAGATGAAGCATGCCTTCACAGACCTAATTTAGAATGTATATTTTTTTTAAAAAAAAAACCTACAGCAAATAATGCTATAGCATTCACAACAAAGGAAAACTTGTTCTTGTGGCTCCCATGTAGTGTTGATTTTGAAGAAATCTTTTATTCGCTTGGGGAGCCTGGCTGTGGATGGGTGGAATAGATCAGAAAATTGCAACATGTGTGTGTGTGTGTGTGTGTGTGTGTGTGTGTAAAATTCACTAGTGTTTGATATCCAGTATGTATTTCTGACATTGTTCGTGCTTAATTTAGGGCTTCTTCACTTATTGCACATTTAAGGTGCACACTTAAGATTATTTTAAATGTGGTTCCTTAAAACGTGGAATTCAGATGTGACAAACACCCCTTTCATATAGATATGCTTGTCAGAAACCCAGACTTCACTGGTACAGTGCCAATCTAGATGATCATGGAGAACCATTATTATATATCCCATCTCTTTAAATTCCCTTTAGAAGCAGTTGAGCAAAGAGCAAATTAGATTGGGACTGAATAGGCACTTGCAAAGCAATGGTTAACCCAATGCAAGGGTTAACTCAGGGCAAATCACCCTTTGCTAGCACACCCCACAAACCTGCTACTTTGTCCTGTTAGGGAACACATCTATAAACCCATATGTTTCTCCCCGATAAGACTCACTACAGCCTGAGTCAGGTGAGTCAAGTAGTAGAATACACTGGAGAAAATGGAAGGGAGATGGTTTAACCCTTCCTGCAGCATGGTGATCCCAATCCAGTTTAGAGATGTGAAACCTGATCCCAAATTTCCAAAGCCTGGATCTAGTTTACCCCTCAATAGCAAATGCAGGTTTGCTCCCCATCAGTGGCGTAGCGTGGGGGGTGCAGGGGGGCCCCGCCGCACCGGGTGCAACATCTGGGGTTAGGGCAAATCCACAGGTTAGGGGGCGCAAATCCACGGGTTAGGGGGCGCAAATCCACGGGTTAGGGGGCGCAAATTACTTGCCTTGCCCCGGATGCTGACAACCCACGCTACACCACTGCTCCCCATAATTTGCTAAACAGTCCTTAGAACCAATCTATGTGTGATACTCATGACACTCAGTCAAGCTGCTTTAGGTTAAAAAGGGCATATATATATATATATGTGCCTTTTTTTAACCTAAAGCAGCTGCATAAATAGGTTGCAATCTGGAGGAGAAGTTCTGTGTGGGGAGAAAGAGACGTCTTCAACCTTCCTGAGTATTTTTCCCCATTCAGAATGTCACACCACCCAACCTGGTGTGTTCCACCCCAAGGAGGAAAAGATGCCTGCAGTATATGGGCCTAAGTTAAAACTAGGTGAAAGAGTTATACTTCAACTTTTAAATCTTCAGTCAACTGGTCAGAGCCAATTTTAGAGTTGCAAGTAAGAATGCAGGGAAAGGCTGCTGGATTAGGCCAATGACCTATCTAGTCCAGCATCCTGTTCTCACAGAGCCAACCAGATGCTTGTACAGTGGTACCTGGGGTTACAGACGCTTCAGGTTACATACGCTTCAGGTTACAGACTCCGCTAACCCAGAAATAGTACCTCGGGTTAAGAACTTTGCTTCAGGATGAGAACAGAAATCGTGCTCCAGCGGCGCAGCAGCAGCAGGAGGCCCCATTAGCTAAAGTGGTACCTCAGGTTAAGAACAGTTTCAGGTTAAGAACGGACCTCCGGAACGAATTAAGTACTTAACCCGAGGTACCACTGTACACAACTGGCATGCACAAGAACCCTCTCCACTCCTGTGATTTCCAGCAACTGGTATTCAGAAGCATTACTGCCTCTGTCCGTAGAGGCAGAGCATAACCATCTCAGCTAGCAGCCATTGATAACCTCTTCCATAAATTTGTCTAATCCTCTTTTAAAGTCATCTAAATTGGTGGCTATCACTGTCTTACAGCAAAATCCTATACATGTCTATTCAGAAGAAAGTCTCAACAACTTCAGTGGACCAGGTAGGGATGTAAAGAGGCACTGTTATCTCTCACATGCAGCACTGTTTCTGATCCACTGCAGTTCATCTTCCACCCAAAACTACATTATTGCTGTCAGCTGTGGCAAAATGATGTAATTCATGTAAATTGTGCAAATCATATTGTCATTAGTAAGGTTACCAGACGTCCCCGTTTCCCAGGGACAGTCCCCGGATTTACAAACCAGTCCCCTGACAAAATCCTATCATTCCTACTGAAGTTGAAAAGTGTCCCTGAATTCATTGAAACAAATCTGGTAACCTTACATTATGTGATTCCACCCCCACTATTTCAATGCAACGGAAATGCATTGTGAATGTCATGTATCATTTGTGGACTGAAAGCAACGACAATATAATGTTCACTGGATTTATTTCCATTCTGGATATGGGACAAATAAGCAAACATCAGCCATTTCTGTTCCCGTTTCTGTTTGTTGTCAGAATTCTCTGACATTCCTACCCCCAAGTAAGTAGATATAGGATTGCAGCCTATTAAATATATCTCATGTTTCAGTATCCCATCAGAATTGACTAATGATGTATGTTAAGGCAATTTATGACTCCAGTTAAAACTTCTGGGCACTCTGATCTTTCCCAGGTGAGCTGTACATGCTTCCCAAATTCAAACTTTGTCTCCTTTCTTATCAACAGTGTGTGCATTATTATAATTGTTTCTTTAAAATGTTGCTGCATTTTTCCATGTTTTCCTGCTAGGTGGGTGGTGTAGATTATATGATAGCTTTTATCAGGCTGGCTTAATACAATAATAACATGTGCCCAGTTTCTGCCTGACAAAGAGGTGCATTCTTCAAGCACAAAGGAGCACTGTAGACCCTTTTCATGTGAGATACTAATGTGTCTTACAACTTTTCTTGCAGCACTTGTGGGGTGTGTTTGTTTTGCTGGGGGACAGAAGATGCAAACGAAACTGAAGTTGCATTCTAGGGAGGAACCGTCAAATCTGTCAATTTCAGTTTCTCTCAGTTTCTCATTCTTTTCTGTCTCAATTTCACTTCTCCACATTTCTACATCAGTATGCAAAAAAGAATTTTAAGTCCCCATGAAAATTCATCAGCATTTTAGTGTGGATTTCCCCTGATACACACATTTTTGTATGCCATTTTCCCTAATATAATTTTTATATGTTATTTTTAATAATATAAGCATTTTCATCCATACATTAACCAAGTGTGTGCATTTTTGTACATGTTGCCTTGCTGGAGAAGTCCATTGCAACAGCCATAGATTTGTGATTTCTGAAGGCTAGCTCTCTTTCAGCTTGTGCTTAATGTTTTGGAAAGGAAAAATGAGATAAGTTTGCCTTTAAATGAGAACTAAATCCAACTTCTCCCCTATCCCTAAATGCAGGCAATGTGGGCCTTGCATCTGTGTGACAAACCAGTCGGCATACGTACAAGTCAGTTCAAGTCTCACACATTAAAGTGCACTTAGCGACACAAGCTCCAAACTGAGGTATAAACTGAATTAACCAACTATCCTGGCCCCAATTGCAGAAGGCATTTAGGGGCAACATAAAATGTGCTCAGGACCATTTGTAGCTCCTGAGCCACAGGTTCCCCCACCTGTGTTCTGTGTCGTGGTAGAAAGTCTGTAAGACAGTCCCCTGGTTGAACAATCTTAATCAATGGATCATGCAAAATTTAGTCAATGAATCAATTCATTGATCAGCTAATTCAACTAATATGGGCCTGAGTCAAAAGGGCTGTTTGGAAGCACAACGCTCACTTGGTTTGTTTTCACATGACCTCCGCCTTGTGTTTTCTAGCATCAGGCATCATTTGAGAAGATGTATCTCCTTCCTGGGTATAAATGAAGGGTGTGAATATTTCTTAGCAGACCATGCTGGACATCTACACATTTTTGGAAATACCTGTATAAGAAATAATATTTTTTTCAAATAAAAAAGAGGGACAACGGCATCCTGATTTTTGGGGAAGGGTCACAGCTTGGTGATAGATTCATGCAGAAGGTCCCAAGTTCAATCCCTAGGACTGGGGAT